TTGTTATATCTATAACTTATTCCCTCTCGAATACTCAATCGGGGAGTATATCCACTTCATCGAGGGTAGTTATCAACAACGACCGTTCATTAATAACCCTTACTATTAATCAAATATAGAACAACGCCTTATACCGATTTAATAGTAGCATTTAATCTTTCTAACTCCTTGATGAAATCAATTGAGATGGATAACCTCAACACAACGGTTTCGGTTTAACCAACAAAATTAATCCCTCTTAAGTTTATTAACCACGACCGTGCATTAATAAACCGAAGTTACTCACTTGTGAAACCATCAACGATTAACCATCGGTTCATTGATCGTTTCTAGTAATAATTAATATATGAAACAAAACTAGTTGATCCTTTAAGTAATGTTCAAAATATTAATATGAAATATGAATAGGAATTAATTAATATTCAAGGAAGAATATTATGAAAGAAGGTGAATCCTACTATAATTAATATCAAGATGTTAACTAATTGTCATCTTAGCAACACTCCCCAACATTAATATAGAGGAAGAAAATACTACTCTAACTAATGTCAAGATGTTAACTAATTGTCATCTTAGCAACACTCCCCAACATTAATATAGAGATGGTATTAAGGAAAGAACTATTAATTAATATTCAAGGAAAGAAGTTAAGAAAATAACTCACAACTTTAATAATCAACAAGCTTCAAGAGCAACACCAAGAATTGGAAGTTTAGCTCCTCATTTGGAGACTAAACATAGCTAGAAAATAATAAAGAAATGCTATTCTAAACTGAGCTTAAGAGTACGGAAGAAGGGATGATTAAAAAAGTGAAGGAAAATGGGGTTATTTATAGGTGTTTTCAAGACCTATAGCCGGATACCCGGCCGGGTATTTTGACATACCCGACCGGGTATTTACCAAATCAAATATTTTCCCATGTTTTTGTGTCTTTTGCACGTTCTTTGGTCCGAAATCACTTCATACCCGACCGGGTATATGGAATACCCGACTGGGTATTTGCTAGTTTTGCAGCAGTTTCCTTTGTCACTTCATACTCAGCCGGGTAAAGTCCATACCCGACCGGGTTTTGCATAAAAATCAGGTTTTTCCATCCTTCTTGCATCCAAACCTATCCTAAAACTTATAGCCCAACTAGCTACAACTTACAACAAACAATAAAATGCTAGAAATACGATTACAATCAAATGCAAACTAACAACTACAAACTTGCACAAAACTAATAAATAAACATTACAAACAATAATAAAAATGTATACTTAAGCACTAACAACTAGTGTCTATCAAACACCCCCACACTTGAACCTTTACTCGTCTCGAGTAAATTAAAACCTGCCCATGAAGTTTTCAAAACCACAAGAGTAGCAGACCAACCATCCAACATTTTCTTCTTCTTCTTTTTTTGATTATCTTCCTGCATAAATAGATATCTTTTTCTCATTCACTCATTTTGCCTAGGAGCCTTTTCAGGTTTTTATCCTAGCCTCTCTTTTTATTTTTCATTTCTCACAACTCACTCATTTTAGCCACTTTTGCTTAGATTGCCCATTTTTTACGGGTTTTCAACCTAACTAGCATTTTTTTTCTTTTATTGTTTTTTGTTTTGCTCTTTTTTTTGTTGAAGAAAAATAATGCAAGTTACAAGTTTTAAAAAATGAGTAGATACAAAATGAGTGCCTCCCCTACACTTTTTTTGAAACACTGTCCCTAGTGTTCGGCACCATGTACGTTGACGTACCCTCCATAACCGCCATCGCCACCAAGACCATGTTCACCGGAGCTTGAAACTCCCAAACGCCCTAATATGAGAGATAATATCACGTCGGGTGTTGTACTAGGTGGGCATGTTGGAGAAGTACCCTTGGTGGTCGAAGATATGTGTTCTTTTTTGTTCTTTTTTTTCATTTTTTTTTGGAGTGAATTCCAAAGTTGAGCTTCGGGGGTTAGGGAATTCGGTTTGTAGGGTATTTTGGGGGATTTCGTGGGTTTTGTGTGTGTGGGTTTGGAAAGTAGGGTGAGGAGAAAAAGAAATGACATTTTGTTTTGGAGGTTTTGGGGTTGAAGAGGATGATGTGGATAAGAAGAATGTGGGGTTAATTTGGATGTTTTGGTTGAGCTTTGAGTGGTTTGAAGCTTGGATGATTGTCAATGGAGGTTGAGGGTTTGAGTTTGGGAGATTAGGGAAGAGAGTGGGTGTTTTGGGGGCTGATTTGGGAACAAATCGGATTGAAATCCCGATTACCCGGCCGGGTTTTTGGTAATACCCAGTCAGGTTTTTCCGCAGACCTCTCCAATTTTTTTTTTGAAAAATGTTTTTTTGCACACACACACTCTACTAAAATAAATTGAGATAAGAAAAGATACCTTGCATGGGTTGCCTCCCAAGAAGCACCTCGTTTAACGTCACGGCACGACGCCATCTTTGTGTTCAATCGTTCAAGCTTGGATCGTGATAATTCGTCTTCTTCACATCTTCACTTGTTGCACTTTTATAGAAATGTTCAATTTGTCGACCCTTTATTTTGACAATCTTTCCGGGATCAAATATCCGGATTTCTATCGCTTCATATTGTGAGAGTGAGGATCCATGATTTTTACTTAACATGGTCAATGGATGGGGTTTTGATCCGAGTGGTATAAGAGGGAGTATGAAATTTTTGCGTAACTCCACCGTTATTCCATGCATATTAGCGAATGAAGAGAAATCTAAATGATACTCACAATTGCTGAAGATTTCGTCCTTGTCCTTCTCCACCCTTTGTGTTTCCCTTAGAGCCTCAGGAAATGGTGGCATGATCTCAGGAATGGCCGGTGGTGGAGTTGAGTTTTGAGGTTTCTCCTCCTCTGATTGAGCTTCCTCCGTAAGCTCCTCTTCTTCTTCCTCCTCGCCAATGTGGTTCACAATGTTTGGCACTTGTTTCAATTGATTCTCCAAGTTCAGTTCTTTGAGCATTGTTTCTTGCGGGTATTGTGACATATCTTGTTGCATTTTTGTCACATTGATAGTGAGAGCTCGGATCATGTCTTCAGTGGACATGCTGGAATAAGAACTTGAGTATAGGTTATATGTGTTGGAGAATGAATCATACCACTCTTGGAAACTAACATCATTACTTTGTTCAAAGTAATCTTCTTGAAGCTTTGGGCAAAAATCCGTAAGATGCCTTTGTGACATGCAAATGTTGCAGGTCTTGGTATCTTGAACTTTTGAGCATAAGAGAAACTCCTTTACTAAAAAAGTTAAGCTAGAAATTTGACTCTCTAGCGATGATGTGTTGGTTTCCATTTACTCATGTACGCTCAAAAAATAGAAAAGGTAAAAGCTCTTTATATTTTGTTTATTATAAAAAAAATTTGATTGATTTTTCATGAAATAAAATAAAAAGAAAAATAATTGCCTTTCCCCGGCAACGGCGCCAAATTTGACGGGCACTTTGTCACGGTGCGCCAAAATAAATTCAATACTAAACACTTATACGTAGTATAGCGTAGTAGAGTTCGTATCCACATGGAAAGGAATAATTCTCGTTTTATGAAACTAGTAAATAAAAGGGGGGTTTTGGTTTTGAATGATTTAATTTAATTAAGAAACTAAGATGAACAACCTATATGTGTTTAATTCAAAGATAAAAAAGGACTTGGCATTGCTACTTTCCACTTGTTGATATATTTTAGTCGATCATTCTTATATCTATATCCACTTCATCGAAGGTAGTTATCAACAACGACCGTTCATTAATAACCCTTACTATTAATCAAATATAGAACAACGCTTTATACCGATTTAATAGTAGCATTTAATCTTTCTAACTCCTTGATGAAATCAATTGAGATGGATAACCTCAACACAACGGTTTCGGTTTAACCAACAAAATTAATCCCTCTTAAGTTTATTAACCACGACCGTGCATTAATAAACCGAAGTTACTCACTTGTGAAACCATCAACGATTAACCATCGGTTCGTTGATCGTTTCTAGTAATAATTAATATATGAAACAAAACTAGTTGATCCTTTAAGTAATGTTCAAAATATTAATATGAAATATGAATAGGAATTAATTAATATTCAAGGAAGAATATTATTAAAGAAGGTGAATCCTACTATAATTAATATCAAGATGTTAACTAATTGTCATCTTAGCAACACTCCCCAACATTAATATAGAGGAAGAAAATACTACTCTAACTAATGTAAAGATGTTAACTAATTGTCATCTTAGCAATACTCCCCAACATTAATATAGAGATGGTATTAAGGAAAGAACTATTAATTAATATTCAAGGAAAGAAGTTAAGAAAATAACTCACAACTTTAATAATCAACAAGCTCAAGAGCAACACCAAGAATTGGAAGTTTAGCTCCTCATTTGGAGACTAAACATAGCTAGAAAAATATAAAGAAATACTATTCTAAACTGAGCTTAAGAGTATGGAAGAAGGGATGATTAAAAGTGAAGGAAAATGGGGTTATTTATAGGTGTTTTCAAGACCTATAGTTCGATACCCGGCCGGGTATTTTGACATACCCGACCGGGTATTTACCAAATAAAATATTTTCCCATGTTTTTGTGTCTTCTGCACGTTCTTTGGTCCGAAATCACTTCATTCCCGACCGGGTATTTGCTAGTTTTGCAGCAGTTTCCTTTGTCACTTCATACCCGGCCGGGTAAACTCCATACCCGACCGGGTTTTGCATAAAACTCGGTTTTTCCATCCTTCTTGCATCCAAACCTATCCTAAAACTTGTAACCCAACTAGCTACAACTTACAACAAACAATAAAATGCTACAAATACGATTACAATCAAATGCAAACTAACAACTACAAACTTGCACAAAACTATTAAATAAACATTACAAACAATAATAAAAATGTATACTTAAGCACTAACAACTAGTGTCTATCAGTTATTATCTATACCGATCATTCGGCCATTAGATGTCTCCTCCAAAAGCATGATGCTATGCCTAGACTGTTACACTGGGTTCTTTTGTTGCAGGAATTTGATATTGAAATCAGGGACCGGAAAGGATCTGCTAATCAGGCAGCTGATCACCTTTCAAGGTTAGATGTCGAATTAGCAGAAACCTTTGGAAGATGCGAGGTGGATGAACTTTTTCCTGCGGAGAGGTTAATGGCAATATCCGCCAATGAACAAACACCATGGTATGATGACATTCCCAATTACCTTGTTGGTAACGTCGAGCCTACCGACCTAACAAGGCACATGAAGAGGCGGTTCCTGTCAGAAGCAAGGCACTATTTTTTTGGATGATCCATATCTATTCCGTATTTGTGCTGACCAGGTTGTGAGAAGATGTGTTACTGAAGCTGAGGGAAGAGACATACTGAAACATTGTCACAACGGTCCTACTGGGGGCTACTTTTCAGGGAATAGAACTGCCAGACGGGTTCTGGACTGTGAGTACTTCTGGCCCACGATTTTTAAGGATGCTAATGTATTTGTTTCCTCTTGTGATAACTGTCAGCGAATCGGGAACATTTCTGGGCGCAATGAGATGCCCCAACACTTTTATATTACCTTGTGAGGTATTTGATGTTTGAGGCATCGACTTTGTTGGACCTTTTCCCAGCTTAAGAGGGAACAAATACATTCTTGTGGCCATTGATTATGTTTCTAAGTGGGTTGAAGCTCAGGCCTGCGTCACCAACGACTCTCGAGTAGTCGTGAATTTTCTGAAAAAGTTGTTTACAAGGTTTGGTTTGCCTAGGGTTTTGATCAGTGACAGAGGGACTCATTTTCATAATGACCCAATGGCCAGACTTTTGGCCAAATATGGAGTCCAACATCGAAGCGGAGTAGCGTACCACCCCCAGACTCAGGGACAAGTTGAGAACGCTAACAGGGATTTGAAGTCCATTTTAGAGAAAACTGTTGCCCAGACTAGGAAAGACTGGTCAACTAAACTTGACGACGCACTTTGGGCATTTCGGACCGCATACAAAACCCCGATCGGAACCACCCCATTTCGCCTAGTATACGGGAAGTCTTGCCACTTACCCGTTGAACTCGAACATAAAGCACTTTGGGCGATGAAAAATGTGTGTTTCAAACTTGACGCTGCAGAGAAAGAACGATTTTACCAGCTAAATGAACTGAAAGAGTGGAGAGCGCAAGCTTTTCATAATTCCAAACTTTACAAAGAACGAGCCAAACTCTATCATGATCAACACATCAAGGCCCGTGGTTTCAATGCTGGGGACAAGGTGCTACTGTTCAACTCTCGGTTAAAACTTTTTCCGGGAAAATTGAAATCAAGAGGGTCCGGACCGTTCACGATCGTGAAAACTTACCCCTATGGAACCATCGAGATCGAAGATGCAAATGGGGGTCCCTTTAAAGTCAATGGCCACCAACTCAAACTTTACCACGGTGGCCCGGTCGAAAAAAGCAAGGAGATTCTCTATCTCCAGAAATTTTGAACCAAAGAAGGAAATTCGTCAAGCTAGTGACGTTAAAGAAGCGCTCATTGGGAGGCAACCCATTAAAAAAAACTAACCTTAAAAAATTGTTATTTTGATTTTTGCAGATGTCTAGAGGAGGAAGTGAGGATCCCATCTGTCAGGATCCACCACTGGCTAGGCATGACCCATTGCATGTGCCAGATATCCCATTTGCTACTGATGCTGACCGCACACGCTTCGAGACGTGGGGGCAGTACCACACTCTCCTAGCTCCCATGATCCTAGATCAGAGGATGCTCGAGGAATGGGGATATTGGGGGGACATTGATGATCTACTGGGAGATTCCTTGTGGCGTGGGATTCTATCCATACAGGAGAGAGCCAGCTTCCCATTGACGATGGAGTTCCTATGCTCTCTACGCTTCACTCACTACAGCCACACTGTGCACGCAGGATCTGTCATTGGGTCTGCGACTCAGATGAGATTCACTATCATGGGCATTGAGCACTCCATCACTGTGGCTGAGCTCGGATGGAGGATTGGGCTCTATGCTCCTGCATATACACAGTCAGACGAGTTTTGTGCTCTCCCGACGCGTTTACCTGAGACATTTGACATTGATGAGTTCTCGCACAGGCACTCCACAGACACTAGACCGTTCCTCCGCATGCACCCCCAGTCGAGCCGGTGGAGGCAGACTCACTGGTATATACTCTCGTTTGTACTCTATTGTGGTTTTTTTGGACGACCTAACAACACGAACAGGTTGTCCAAAAAGGACATACTATTCTTTTGGAGTCTGGTTCACCGCACCCCGGTGAATATGGCAGTCCTTTTGGCTCGTTTCTTCAGGAGCCAGGGGAAGAGTGTTCGCCGCACGATCCAGGTAGGGCCCTTCATCACTACTCTCGTCCGGACTTTCTATCCTGACCTAGACATTCCAGGTCTACTCCCACTACAGGATAGCATTCGCATTCTTAGATCCTCATCCTTTGGGAACATGAGGATCAAGAAGAAGCGAAATACTCAAGAGCTTCCGGGCATTGAGCAGTCGACCCAACAGAGTAGCTCTTCTCAAGCCCCACCACACAGGAGACCTGGTGAGCCATCCTCGGACATGGCTAGTGCTTCAGATTGGAGTGCGATGATCGACGCGATGAGGGGTCTTCAGACCTCATTCGTAGATTTTAGGGGTGCACAGGAGAGAGCATTTCAGGAGATGCGAGAGGCACGTGTGTCGGCCCTTGGAGAATTCAGAGATTATAGACTGGCATAGGAGGGAGCCAAGAGGGATATTCAGGAGTAGCTAAAGACCCAGCGACTGGATATTGAGGAGATACGAGAGTGGCTGCGGCCTGATCATGGATCACAGGATGACACAGGCGATGCCTATATTTGCTTCTTCCTTGACATTCATTTGTGTTTGTTTTTTTATTCAGGATTGGACATTGCGTTGCTCTTTTGACTTGAATGCTCTCACAAACTACCTATGGATGCTGTAAGAATTTTTAAAACCATTTTAATCCTGTTTCATTGTTCCTCTTCACAAAATCTTTTCAAAACTCAGCTGTGAGGAAAGAACCAAAAAAATGTGCCTTATTTCAAATCTTTGTGCATTCAAAAGACACCTCGAGGGCGAGGTCCAGCTCAAGTGTGAGGAGGTTGCGTTTTACACTCAAAAGTTAAAACCTTATTTTAGAACAATCTTTTTACTATTTTTGATATGAAACATTAATTTCTCAATTGTTATCAATCACATAATAGGTTAGAGAATCACCCTTATTATAAGAATTTACTTTTATTATTATTTTTAGAAAACTTGAAATTGTTATGGTTTCTTGGTTGTGAAAGTAAAGGGCTGAATTTGTTTTAATTGGACATTCATTTTTGTCACAAAAAAAAAACAAAAAAAAACAAAAAAAAAACTCATTATATATATATATATATATATATATATATATATATATAGAGAGAGAGAGAGAGAAATATTCAGGTCCGGAATTCCTGGTGTATTATTTTGACTAAAATTTTATGTCATGTTCTTCATTAAGTCTAGTTTAACCATACCAAATTTGAGAAAAAAATTAAATCGGGAATGTCATCAAATGAATTTTGAAAGATAAATGCGTTTTATATTGTTAGTACCCATTTTTGATAGATTTTGATGATGCCAATATACTTTGCACGTGTACATTGTGTCTTATAAAATAGCATTTAAATTTGAGTGACAAAAATAAATGTACGATTTTTGAGACTAAAGAAATATTACCGGAAAAGTAAAAATGCAATAAGGTAATTTTTATTTACCTTCATAGGATATTTAGATCCTACCGGCATAAGAAGCTCAAAATTAATTAAATGTCACATGTTTTGACGAAAAGAAAAGAAGCTCGAAAATCATATACATTGAATGTATATTTGAAAACAAAATTTGACTAGCATTGAATGCTAAATTTGTACTGGGGTCCGGAGCATTGAAGACGCACACATGGGATTTTTTTTTTTAAGAGATGTTCCAGCGGCTAAAAGATTATTGAAGACAGCCGCATTAAAAGCTCCAGCACAAGAAGATGAATGTACAAGTCGTCCGTGTCAAATTTCAACGAACAGGATTAATCCATCCTAACCAACGGATCAGATTAATCAACTGGAGAAGCCTATAAATATAGGCTGAAACAAAAGTTTCTAACTAAGCTTGAGCATCCTAAGTAGAGAGATATTTCTATTGAGCATTCACGAAATATCTAGCAAAAGAGAAAGTGCTATTATATACTTTACTCTCTGCTTAGACTCTGCTTAAATCCTAGAAGTTTAGTTCCTAGTTGGAGGTTAAAACTTTCTTGTAACCAAATCAGATATTGTTGTAAACACTTCAGGAGGACAGGTTTTCCCGGCCTGAGTGTGGTTAGATAGGTCAGTAGTACCTTCAATCTAGGATAGAGTTGTCAAGGCTAGATTGACACTAAGTGTATTGGGCTTAATGCATTAGTGAAATCCATTTCAAATAGGATGAGACTGCATGTAGGAGGATTACACCACCTCTGAACCAGGATATACCGTGTGTTGATTTATTTTCAGTCAACAAAGCACACACTGAACACTTCTCATAAAAGATTGTAGTTTGCCAGCAGCATCCTAAGCAGTAGTCTTAATTTGACCCTACTGCTTATCCTACTGCTTAATAACTCACTTTCTTTGAGATACAAGAGCTTTACAATATCACAACTATAAGGTCTGTTCCATTAGATTTCAGGAAATCCTACTTAAGGCATAGCAGTTGCATCAGCAGTCCCCTGGTGACTACCCAACTGCTAAGCCTACTGCTCACGCAAAAGTGTTTCCTTTGAACATCTCAAATTCACCAGACCTTCACAACTCCTTCTCGAAGAAGTCTGTTCAAACTGATCTCTGTAATTCAAAGTGGTAACCCAGCAAGTGCCTCAGCAGTTCCCTCACTGTCACCCAAATGCCGAGATCACTGCTCCATTAAAATTCCCACTTACTTGGACTAATGCACATCTTCAGAAAGCCCACATCATCCTGAGCAACACCATATAATCAAACTTCTCATACCTTCACTTTTACTTAAGCAGGTGGCTCAACAGTTCTCTGGTTACCAACCAACTGCTGAGACCACTGCTCTCATTAAGGTTGATTATCAATCTACCTTGTTATATCATCAGAATGCTCTTCCCACTCTAAGAAAGATTCTGAGTGCACTCTCATCATACACTAAGTATTTCGCTAGTAGTTGCCTCAGCAGTTCTCTGCTCTCTAGCCAACTGCCAAGCCAACTGCTCACCTTATAAAGCCCAATCCTCATCCATCATAGAAAGTGTTATACACTATTTATCTAAGAGGTTAAAGACTTCCGTTGTGCATCTATAAATATCCCAAAGGATTATAGATCAACTCTTTAGAGGGAGAAACGTTTTAAAGTTGAAAAAGCTTTAAAAGTCTATTCACCCCCCCCCCCCCCCTAGACTTTTACCTCTATCCTAATTGAATTGTTTGCTCAAATTTGATATGGATGAATTAAACTTGATGAAGAACATTCAATAAAATTTTCATCAAAAAATACCACCGGGAAGAGCCCCAAAAGCAGTTGGCCGGACGTTGATTCCGGTCAGGCCTTCTTGACTGGAAGATTACTCTCTGTCTCTCTCTCTATCTCTCTCTCTCTCTCTGTGTATATATATATATATATATATTATAGTACTCTTCTGGCCAGGAATTCTTGATCAGAACCACCGTCCGGACGATGTCTTTTGGGGCCCTTCAAGTGAATGATAGGTACGATATCTCATTTTTTAAATGGGTACCGGAGTTGTCACCTTTTCTTAAATGCAATAAAAGTGCTAGCAGAAATTGCACAAATGTTGTTTTTTACTCTTAGTTTGAAAAGTTCTCAACTTTACATGAAATAATTTGAAAAGTTTTAAATTGAAGAAATGTTGTTTTCTTTCCTTTTCAGGTCGTCCCTAAATAAAAGTCTCGTTTTCTTTTTTGTTAAACAAAACATTGCAAAATAATGTCAAACAGTGTCAAACAATGTTCAAACACTGTCAAGCAATCTCACTTTCTTGAAATGTTTGTAAAATGAATGGGAGCCCTTGTATATAAGGACGAAAAGAGTAGCATCATTAACAAATAATGTTAAATAAAATCAAGTGCGGTAGTTTGACAGCGCATTTATGAGACTTATTAAGTCCTTGAATTGTTTACCCGAGTACAAGTCCATACAAGTTTTTTATGTAGATTCTATGATACCCATAAAGTAACATACACTTGTCCATATGGATCAATCACAATCAGGGACGGATCTAGCATTTACGTTCAGGTGGGGGCAAAATTTAATTAAATAACGTATATTATAAAAAATGTCAAAATGTAGTATATTATAATAATATCTTAGAAGTCGAAATGTAAATTATAGAAATGTCAAAGAATAAATTGAATATTACAGAATTGACAATACAATTATCTTAAAAGTCATAGATATCGAACCGATTATCGGTTACTCAAATGTTTAGTGCCAATTTTTAGGTTAGTTTCTCGGAAACAAGATAAACCGATTTTTTTTACTCTAAAATCTATACTCTATGTAAAGAAAACTTATTTTCACCTACAAAATCCAATGTATTCAACTAATTAATTTTTCGGTCAATATTCAAAAGCCCAATGAATTGAACTAATTAATTTTTAGGACAATATTTAAAAAGCTCAATCAATTGAACTAATTGGTTTTTCAGACTAATAAAGCCCAAATAGTTGGACTACTTAATTTTTGCATCCTAGTATTCAAAAGTAAAAATTCAAACTTGATTTGTGTAAGAAAGCATGTTTCTGGACTTGGATGGAAAATACAAAAAAAATGCTTCTCCAGCTAGGAATTGAACACATAACCTTTACACTGCCAATCACGCCTCTACCATCACACCAACATAAATTTTGTTTACAATAGGACGTTTGTTCTAATTATACCATTTCTTTCGAGTACATATATAATATATACGGAGTATATACTAGTAATTTCTTTTTTTTTTTGAGGTGGGGCCTAGGCCCTCCCTGGCCCTATGCCAGATCCACCCCTGATCACAATGTTGTAGTTGAATTATTTAAGTCTAAATTAAAAATGATATTAATGTTTGGACCAATCAAGTGAATAATGGTAGATACGATACCTCATTTTTAAATGGGTATAGGAGTTCTCACCGATCTTTTACTACTGGGAAAGGATTTACTTGGTGACATGTTGTTACAAGTTGGGTAATAAGCTTCCACAATGGTGCGGTTATTAATAGAGCATCTCCGGTGCAAGGGTGTGGTCTCTTACACAACCTTAGCTTATACATGGATCCCATTTTTTATCTCACAATTTTTCTGTGTAGGACCCACGTATTTCCTAATTGACTTTTATGGGACGGACTAAAAAAGATAATCTTATGGGGATTGGCCGGATTGCGGTAGTATATTACGAGTTAAAAATATTTAGAGGCCGTTTGGTATCACGAAAATCGGCTGATACGGCTTATTCTGCTGAGATTTATGAAGTTCTGGCCGAGGTAGCTGCATTGGCTAATTCTGCAGATTTAAGAAACAATTATTTTTAAAATACATTGTATTAATAAAATAAAGAAAAAATTATATGTAAAAATAGCTAAAATGATCATCTACAATAACTTCAGCCAATACAGCTAGAAAAGTAACTCCAACCTTACTTTTTTTATTATTACACAATTCAGCGCGCGAAAATAAAAGTTACGTGTTTGGTGAAAAAGTTTGCTAATAAACCTACTAAGCACAAAAATAGTGTTACCAAACAACATCTTAGTTAAATCATGTATTTATGGGAAAACTGACGTAAATGACCATGATGAATTAAAAATATTTAATACGAGTAAAATTTTGAGAAAATATTGACGTAAATGTCCCGGCCATGAGAATTCTCCGGTTGCATCTACTAAACTAATACTCCCTTAATCCCAAATTGTTTTGTAAAATTGTCATTTTGGGCTAAATATATTCATTTTGTTCACTTAATTAGGATATCTATCATTA